CGCTTTGGCGGGTGAGTCAAGCAGCTGATGGGCCCACAAAAAAACTAGTTCCCTGTACTGCATATATTATCAATATGTTAACTAAATATTAAAGAGCACAACCTCCTTGATATTTACTCCACTGGAAACGAATGTAAACATAGAACAGATTACTGTACATGTATTGGCGGAGGACTAGCCGATCAGCTGATGCTCACAACAAAACGGGTTTGTCATAAGGATTTCGTTAATCGAAGTTTTGTTCGTTAACCGAGGTACCACTGTATAATAACATTACCTTTTAAGGGTTAAAGGGTTGACCTACACTAAGTATTTCATGGCTAGTGCGACTCAGTAATGGCCTAGTGCAACTTGTGAACAGGGCTGTGCCCTTCTGAGGGCCGAGCTGGAGAGGGCCAGGGAAGATATTTTGAAATTAAAAGAAGAGATAGCGAGGACGAAGGAATAAACGAGACAAGGAAAGCAGGTGAATGACGAATGGAAGGTTGTAAGGAGAGGGACGACCAAACTGGTGGTGAGAAAAGACACCAAGGAAACGACAACAACAGCTAAGTATACCAACTCTTTCAGTCCTTTGATAGATGAATTGGACATTAGTATAGTCATGGACAAGGCTGACAAGGAAGGTAAGAAAATCTTGATTGTTGGCGACTCGCAGGTACGGTAAATGGACAGAGCTTTTTGCGGTAAAGATAAAAATAGAATGAAGGTGTGTTTGCCAGGAGCTGGGATGGGGGATATAGTTGACAGGATGGACAATATCTTGTCTGGTAATGGGAACAAACCCATTATCTGCCTCAGTGCAGGAGGCAATGATATTGGCCGGTGTAGGAGTGAGGAGCTTCTTGATAAGTTCAAGACAGCTATAGAACGTGTTAGGTCTAGGGGAGGGACCCTTATCATATGTGGTGTCCTGCCTAGAAGGAAAGTTGGCAATGAATGGTTGTCAAGGGCAGTTGGTGTCAACGGCCGTCTTGACAGATATTGCAAGTAAATATCAGTCCCATTCATTGACAACTGGGACAACTTCTATGGCAGAAGGGACCTTTATGCTAGGGATGGGGTGCATCTGTCTAGGGATGGAGTGGATACCCTGGCTGGGACTCTCGAAAGGGCAGTCCAAAAGATGTCGAAGTCTTTAAACTGCTAGGGGAACATGTGAGCACGGGGGTGGAGGAGACTGCAGTGGGAGCAGGTAAACAAAGTGAAAGGTTACAAGGAAATAGTGTTAGGAATGACGACAAAACTAAATTAGACAGCGAGTTAAAACCTAAATGCGGCAAAGGGAGGATTCAGAACACGACTAACTTAAATGTCTACAACGCGAACAGTAGAAGTATGAGAAACAAAATGGATGATATTAGGGCCTTGGTATGTACCAAAAAAATCGATATAATAGCATTCACTGAAACATGGATCAACCTAGACTCACGCGAGTTACCTGTCGAATACCAAATTGCAGGTTACAAATTATTCCAGATTAGGAAAGGAGGCGGAGTAGCAATCTATGTCAGGGATATTCTGAAGTGCGAAATAAATAAGAAAATAAAAACTGAGCGGAATACAGAAACAATTTGGATAGAATTAGTCGACGGTAGGGAAAAATTAATCACAGGAGTAATATATAGACCTCCCAATCTTGATAGAGTTAATGAGCGACATATCTGGGATGAAATACACAGGGCTTCCATACACAACAAAGTCTGTATAGTAGGTGACTTTAACTTTGGCCAAATAGATTGGATTGACCTTACGGGTAACTCGGAATCAGAGGATTTTCTTGAAACAATCCAGGACTGTTTCCTAAGTCAACACATAACCGAACCCACCCGGGGTAATAATATACTCGATTTAGTTCTGTAGAACAGAGAAAACCTCATTAATCATGTCGAGGTAGGGAATGAACTTGTAAACAGCGATCACAAAGAAATTAGATTCCAGTTAGATTTTCAGGGCAGCCATAAGGAAAATTCCACAAAAGTCCCAGATTTCAGAAGAGCAAACTTTGATAGTTTGAAGAGGCAGTTGAGAGAAGGGGTATCACACTTGGGGGTGAGCTACTTGGACCTGACGATTGAAACCGACCTAATAACGAGATCTGAGGTTGCCGAGTTCCACGACAAATTAAATAATGAGTTACTTAATGCACAAAGGCAGAACATACCATACAAAAAACTCAGATCAAACAACAATGACCCTAAATGGATAAATAATTATTTAAAGAACATTATTGGTCAAAGGAAGGCTATAGGTAGAAGGATAAATCGTGGCGAAATTTATCTCAGGGATTATTATAAGGTATTGGCCGGTACGGTTGAGACCGAGATAAGGAAAGCAAAGAGGAATAATGAGCTGAAAATAGCAAGGGAGGCGAAGACAAACCCCAAGGGATTCTATCAGATGTATCAAACTAAAACACGAGAAAAGATTGGGCCAATACAGTCAGATACTGGAAAGCTAACTGATAACGTCGGAGAAATGAGCAATAATCTGAATAAATATTTTTCAACAGTTTTCACAACCGAAAATTTACACATGATACCCGAGGCACCGACTCTATTCAGAGATAGTGAAGAAAACAAATTAAGCAAGATAGTAGTGACTAGTTACGATGTTAGTAAGCAAATAGACAAACTAAAGCCTAATAAGTCGCCTGGTCCCGATGAGATATTTGCCTGAGTATTAAAGGAATGTAAGGAAGAGCTTAGTATACCCTTAGCAAAGTTGTTTAACATGTCCTTAAAAACAGGTGTAGTACCAGAATCCTGGAGGATAGCGAATGTTATACCGATTTTCAAGAAGGGGAATAGATCACTATCCTCTAACTACCGTCCAATCAGTCTAACATCAATTGTAGGCAAATTACTGGAATCAATCATTTCAAACACTATTCGAAACCACCTGGAGAAGCACAAATTGATCAATGATTCCCAGCATGGCTTCACAAGCAGGCATTCATGTCTAACTAATCTATTAACATTCTTTTCATCAGTTTTTGAATCGGTGGACGAGGGGCACAATTATGATGTGGTATATCTCGACTTTAGCAAAGTCTTCGACAGAGTCCCCCACAAAAGACTAATAAGAAAGGTAGAAGCACCTGGCATTAAAAACAATACCTGTATTCTAAAATGGATTAGGGCGTGGTTACAGGACAGGAAACAGAGAGAGCATTAACGGCACTAAATCCCATTGGAGCAACGTCACTAGTGGAGTTCCCCAAGGCTCAGTACTTGGACCATAATTATTTATTATATACATAAACGACATAGATATCGGCATAGACAGCAACATAAGTAAATTTGCTGATGACACTAAAATAGGACGTGTACTGTAATTAAATCTGACGAGGACTCCGCAAAACTACAGGAAGATCTAAACAAATTTTTCGAATGGTCTGAAAAATGGCAGATGCAATTCAATGTGGACAAATGTAAACTACTCAGTATAGGAGACGTAAACAGGGAAACCAGTTACCAGATGAACAATGATGCCATTGAGAAATCCAACTGCGAGAGAAATTTAGGAGTAATGATAAGTAGGAATCTTAAGCCAAAGAAACAATGTGTTTTTGCTCGTAACAAGAATAATAAAGTACTTGGGTTCATACAAAGGAGTGTTAGTTACAAGACTAGCGAGGTCATCCTAAGATTATACCTTGCACTTGTGACACCTCACCTGGATTACGCAGTGCAGTTCTGGTCACCGTATTACAAAATGGATATAGAATCCTTGGGAAAGAATCCAGAGGAGACTGACAAGACTAATCCCGGGCATTAGGAACCATGAGTACAGAGACAGGTTAAATCGTCTTAATTTGCACTCCCTCGAGAGACGTAGAGCGAGGGGCGACATGATAGAGGTGTATAAATGGAAGTCAGGGCTAAACAAAGGGGACATACAAAGGTACTCAAACTATCCAACCAGGAGCGAACTCGTAACAATGGTATAAAATTAGACAAATTTAGATTTAGGCGGGAAATTGGTAAACACTGGTTTGGAAACAGAGTAGTGGATGAATGGAACAAGTTACCAAATATCATCATTAACTCGAATACGCTGGATAGCTTCAAACATAGGTTGGATGCTTATATGAGCAATAGAGGTTGGGTGTAAATGGGACTGCCCAGTATGGGCCAATAGGCCCGCTGCAGTTTCCTCCATTCTTATGTTCTTAATGAGGAATTTATGAAATATCAAATCCTCCAAAAATTTCAAAGTTGTTCTTGTTCATTTTATCTCCATTTAAGAACAACTAAATATGATAGTTCACATAAACATAACAGAAAGCATAGCTTTGTAAAAGTATAGACCAAGGTGTACATTGCATCCAGTTGATAAGTCCAACCACTAGTTTACTCAGCATACATTTTCTGTACATAAGCTAAGCCCCAAAGGGGATACCTCAGATTTAGGGGGATTCAAAGTTTACCCCTGTTGAAAATGCAGCACTAACCCACCATGTTCTATCTAACCCAGCTGAGAGACCCCCTATGGAGGATTTACAGATGATAGAAAAAGAAGGCAACTTTAAGCAAGTCTCTTGAATTCAAATAGTGAAAATACTGGGTTTGTCTGTTTAAACCCCCAAGAGGATTATCTTAAACAACTATCCGTTATGGCCAACCAGTACACATAAGTCAATTTTCCTGACAACCAAACTGGGTATGTACTAGGCTGCCACCAGTGTGATAATGATCATCTTTCACTTCGTTTTCTTTGTAACACCTTGTTGGCAATATCATTTAGCTGCATTTCCATACCTCTAACATTCTCAGTTTTTGCCTGCTTCCACACAAAATGGAGCTACACTTACTAGCATAACACACGAAGTAGTAAAAATAATTTTTTCATATCAATTTACAATTTCAGAATGTAATTCTAAAAACCATTCTACATAATGCTAATGCACAAGTTGGCTACACATAAAGGGCACATTTGATATCAAGATTTTCCTATAGGTGAAAGTAAAGGCAGTGCCAAGGAGGAGTCACACTCACCAGCAACACAGCATAGGTGAGCAGTAGGACCCAGGCCACACGAGTGTTCATGGTGAATCACCCTTCTCCTGTCACCTGAAAAAAAAAATAATGCTCACTTAGTCAGATTAATAAGTAAATACAAATTTCACAATTTTATATATATATATATATATATATATATATATATATATATATATATATATATATATATATATATATATATATATATATATATATATATATATATATATATATATATATATATATATATATATATATATATATATATATATATATATATATATATATATATATATATATATATATATATATATATATATATATATATATATATATATATATATATATATATATATATATATATATATATATATATATATATATATATATATATATATATATATATATATGTTTTACGGGAATTAGCCTACCCGGGCACAGGTTGAACGACCCACAATGGGGCCTGGGGGGAGAAAAAATAAGAACAGAAAGAAATTAAAAATAGATAAGAAAAAGGTTATACTGTACTGTGTTAATCTACACCACGAAGATGCCGGAAAACCAGCCTTTTAAAGTGAGACAGATTGTATAAGTATGGAAACAGAAGAAGGCAGAGCATTCCACAGTTTGGCTGTGTGAGGAAAGAAGGATGTACTATAGGGGGCAGGGAAAAAACACTTTTATTTGAGTTGCACGCTGCACTTTTCAGGCATCGTTTGTATGGCTGTAACAAACACCTGTGCAAAATTTCATGCCATTTCATGCATACTTACCCTGCCGCATCGCGAACGACTTTTTGTCAACTTTTAGTGTATACCCAAAATTAGGTGTCATTTAATGTTTTCCAGGATAATGATAAATTTTACATGGGTGACATCGATTTAATTCACATGTTATTTTACAGGTACACCGTATAGAAAATCATTACAAGTTCATATTGAAATTCTTTTTTGTGCGGAACCTTGGCATCATTTTCCTAGACAATAATCTTTGCCTAATATATCCATCTCTCGATTCGTATCCCGTCACTTCAGTGCAAGCTTCAGTCATCACTTTTATGCCTCTCTCGACCGCCTGAGTGCTGTTTGGCCACTTGGGCACCACTAATGGTGTCTCAAGAATGTCATTAACCTGTAGATTTGACAGAGAAGCAATGTAAGGAGGCTCAGTCTTGAGTTCATTCCTCCAGTTAATCATGGAATGATAGTTTTTTGCTTGCCACTTTAGTTTCGGAGTCACCACCTTTCTCATGTTGACTACAGGAGGCACATCCTCATTCCCATCTCCATCTTTACCCTCCTCATCAGTATAGTTTAACAAATTCTCGTCAACAGCAGCATCAGAATCTTCCTCCTCCTCTTCAGATCTGCCAGTGCATTCTTCCTTTTGCTGATTCTCCTCTCTAATTTTTCTTATCATTGAGACAGCTTTTTCTCTAACAGTCATGTCCTCATCTGCACACATACCAAGAAGAAGTTGATCTGTGTGGGCGAAGTATGCATTTCTCTGGACAGCCTTCTTCACTATCGTCTCCTCCTCACTATTCAGGTGTTTCATATATAGCAGGGACTGGAATACGTTCCTTGAGCCGTGTGTTACGTAAGGGTGTATCTTGATGTAAAACCACATTGGAGCACTGAACTTTATTATTGTAATGACAATTCTTTTCAACTCATGGCTGGGTCTTGATGTTGCTAAATACAGCCTGAGGATTCTACACCATAAGGTGTTCCACCTTGACACACAGGGAGGACCTGGCTCAATAGCAGCCAAGTCATCTTCAACAACACCTGTGATAACTCCTTTACAATTCCTATACAGGTATTTCTGATCCCAGGACAGATTTTTCTCCACTTCATCATTAAACACGGGGAAATCAGGGAAACTGACTGGCTGGAAGGCGACAACTGGAAGCTCAGACAAAGACTCCTTGATCTGCTTTCCAATGGGACCACGCCAATGCTCAGGACCACTTGGTTTACCATCATAGTGATAAAAAACTGCGCGGAAAGGCAGCTCATTTCCGTGAAGCTGACATATGAAATAATGGAGCGGGTGACCAAGTAACATTTCAAGATGATGAATGACTCCATTTTCTGATCCTACATTTACATTGGTTCCATCACAACCAACACACACAATGGGCTGCTGGGTTAGATTTTTCTCCACCAGAAACTCGTGAATAGTTTTGGCAATCTGCTTTCCGTGTCCAGTCTTGGGAGTCACATGTGTGAGATATTCATTGCCAGGCTCAACCATGATGACACAATGATCTTTCACCATCATCCTCGAACTCCATTTCTCGGTCTTCTCATTCTTTATCATCACACGAGTGGCGGTCTTCTTACCATCAAAATAGAGTGACGTCAAATTATCTAAACTAGCCATCTCAATTTCTTGCCTCTTAAATCGGTATTTTTGTCTCGCATCCCGCAGCTTATGTGGTCCAATAACCTGACTCTTGTCATCCTTTGTGATAATGCCATAGTCAGTTAAGGCGGCAGTAGCAATGGCAGCTCCACCATAATCACTAATCAAGTATCGGTCACAAGCGGCAGCCAGTGTAGGGAGTCTTGTCCGGTTCTGTGAACTGGTGTCTGTCAGAGCCCTTGGATCAGGGACAAAATCAGCATCAGTATTGACGAGAGGAATATCTCTTGAATCATCTGAATTATCAATATAGACATAGCACCATACTCATCTGCAACAAGACAACTTAAATGAAATAAGAGATATGAACAAAAAGTTGATAAACACTGAACAGAACATTGCACCGCCACAGCGGCTGTTTGGCTAGTACTGTAGGTAAATTTAAAAATTTCAGTAGAAAATGCGGCAGACTAAACCTCGACATATCAGCTTCAAATTTGGCATGGAGTCTTAGATATGTATAAGGAACAATGCCTGAAGAGTGCAGCTTTGAGCAAAATTTCACTGCCCCCTAATGTACTATAACGGGTTATTCTAGTGTGACCGACATCCACAGAGAAACGGTGGGCACCGCGAGCAAGACATGTGTTACAAGCCCACGGCCTTGCCGGCGGTTCACAGGATGCCAAATCCACCGAACATTGCCCGTTAAAGTACCTGTAAAAGAGAGAAAGTGAAGCAACATTACGGCAAAGAGAAAGGGAAGAAAGATTGTCAACTAAAGGAGGAGAGTTAATAAGACGAAATGCCTTTGATTCCACCCTATCTAACAGTTGGACAGAAGAGCCACCCCGGATATGAGAGCAGTATTCCAAGTTAGGACAAATGCATCCCTTATATACTTGAAGCAACTGTTCAGGAGTGAGGTAGCTACAGGATCTGTACAACATTTCCAACTTTCAGGAGGCAGCTTTAGCTATGTTAAGGATGTGTGATTTCCATGACATATTGGAGGAAATGGTGAGGCCTAGCATACCTATTTCAAAATTTGGCAGAATGATAGTGTCCTGAAATGGGGCCTCAGGATCATCTGAGTTTTACAATACAAGTGAACTTTCACGAACGCTGGATTTTTTCCCACATACGCTGTGAGTGTCCGAGGATTTATTTTGATTTGTTCCATTACCTGCTTGATCGCTTGTTTTAGCTCATAAAATTCATACAAATTAATAGGTTGTGAATATAATTTTACACGCCGGAATTCTTATAATTTGGTGATCATTCTTTGAATATAAACACTATATATTTGCTTTTAAAACCACAATTTTAGAGATAAAAATTTTCTTTCTTCAGGTAACTATGGTATCTTTTGTGCAAAATATATGACATTTATATTCAAAATATTCCTGGTCTTACAAGGAATCCAGCAATGTCAATTATATTATCCTAACTTTAGTTTGAGGTATTATTGATTAAAATTTAGTGGTTATCCCACACATCTCCTTGGGACGGTTGGTGGGGGGGGGGGGGGAGGGACCGACCGACCATCTGTTACCCTGTGTAGAATTATTATTTTTTTTATTAACTGAAGATATTTGTTTTAGCTCATAAAATTCATACAAATTACCCGGTCAGAATATAATTTACATTGCTGGAATTCTTATAATTTGGTGATCATTTTGAATATAAACATCATATATTTTGCTTTAAACTTACAATTTTTAGATAAAAATTTTTCTCAAGGTAACTATGGTATCTTTTGTGCAAAATATATGACATTTATATTCAAAATATTCCTGGTCTTACAAGGAATCCAGCAATGTCAATTATATTATCCTAACTTTAATCTGAGGTATTATTTAATACTAAATGTTAAAAACTCTGGAAGGGAGGATTGGTGGGGGGTGGGGGGGAGGGTTGGGACTGACCGCGCGGTTGGAAGAGGGGGGGAGGCAAGGTGGGGTACTTTGATTGACAGATAGTGTCGTGAAGATTATTTTTTTTTTTATTAACTGAAGATATTTGTTTTAGCTCATAAAATTCATACAAATTACCCGGTCAGAATATAATTTACATTGCTGGAATTCTTATAATTTGGTGATCATTTTGAATATAAACATATATTTTGCTTTAAACTTACAATTTTTAGATAAAAATTTTTCTCTAGGTAACTATGTTATCTTTTGTGCAAAATATATGACATTTATATTCAAAATATTCCTGGTCTTACAAGGAGTCCAGCAATGTCAATTATATTTTCCTAACTTTAGTTTGAGGTTATCCCACACATCTCCTTGGGACGGTTGGTGGGGGATGGGGGGAGGGAGGGAGGGACCGACCGACCATCTGTTAGCCGGCTGTGTAGTGTGAGAGGGGGAGGGAGTTGAGTCCATTATTTGAATGGACATTAACTTGGCGACTGTATTTCTCTATTTCTCTTAAGTATTAATTGTGTGCATGTACCATCATAAAATTAAGATGTTATTTTTACTACAACATAGGTATGTGCCTTCAAAAAGTGGAGTTTGGGGGTCGGGCCGGTTTCTATTGGAATTAATCCCATATGTTCTGTTGTTCACTTAACGCGGATTTCACTTAACGCGGGACCCTCTGGGTTCAATTGACTGCGTTAAGTGGGGTACAACTGTATTGAATTTAACCAAGTTTCTACCTCCCCAGTCAGAGATGCTGCACAGATCCAC